GTTCAGCAGCAGGAGACACTAGAGGACTGCACTGATCTGCCCTCCCATGGGCGGTGCCTGGTTCCTGTTTCTCCACATCTTTGCCAACAGTTGAGGGTGGTGCAAACTATACACAGGTAGGCAAATTGCAGGTTGCACTGTTTCTTTACAGAACTGAGCCTATCCCAGCCAAAGTCCTGCCCTCTCCTGGTTTCCTGGGTCAGCCTTTTAGACACAGAAGAACTTTAAGCCTTAATAAAACCCTCTCTGCTTGTTTTTTTTTTGTTTTTTGTTTTTTCTTTTCTTTTTGCCCCTGAGGGCTGTTTGGTCCTTGGGGTCAGTCCTTAGCAGGACTCTCCCACGGCAGTGACTCTGCCTGACAGAAGGCTGGGCTTTCTCTCCCACACCCCAACGCCTCTTACCCAGTGACTTCAACATTCTGTTTTTCCTGCTTCTGGTCTTAACTATGCTAATCCCCAGATTCTCTGTTGCTCTCTCTGTACCTTTCAGCCTCTCCCTTCCCCTCCACAGGCCAAAGTTTAACCCAACTCCACTATCCCTTTTCCTATCAACCAGTCTCTGACCCAATCAAACAAATACAGCTCCTTTATGAACATGTGATAAACTTACAGCCCAGCCAAGAGTTTGTGTGATACACCTACACAGTCAGGAAGGCACCAGAGACATACTTTTCCAAACCTAAAACTAGAAAGAAAGCCTGGCAGAGCCTGAAAACCCAGAGGTAATACAGTGTATTGTTAGAGCGTGGACTCCTGAGGCTGAATCTTACTTAGATCCACTACTTAGCTGTGTGATCTTGGGCAAGTCAGTTAACCCCTCTGTGCCTGTTTTCTCATCTGTAAAATAGGAATAATAGTAGCCACTGTATAAGGTTTGTTATGAGAATTAAATGAGTTGGTCCTGTGTTCAAAATAGGCATATACTAAGCACTATCTATGTTGGCCATCATCATTTTTACTACTTGAAATTGGGACTGTCCCAGGAAATAGCAGGTGGCAGTCACATTCACTGAAATAAGAACAGTATCAGAAACTGCAGTTTCATCTTTGCAACCAGTATTTTCTTCTCTTCTTTCTCTCCTTCTGAAGGTTCGTCCAATAATTATATGAACCTTACTGTTCCAAAACAGCCCAGAAAAATCTCCTAGTCCTCTCTGTCAAATTCCATGTTTAGCTCTGGTCACCAAAACAGTTGCAGAGGCCTTATTTCTGCCTTGTGACTTTTTGCTCTTTTTTCTACAGACCGTTCTGCTTTTAGCAGCTAATAAATCCCGTGCTTTTGGTATCTAGAAGTTGCTTTTAGCTTTCTGATAGTGTTAAGCTGACATTGAGAGGGCACAGGGTAAGGAATGAGGTGGCCCTTCATTCCACAGGCAGAATGTTGCCTTGAGTCTGAACTTTCTCAGCATCCTACACTGGCCAAGATACCTAGGCCCAGAGCTTTTCTTTAATTATTCTCATCTGTTTTGTCAAAATCCTAGAAAAGCTATTTTCTCATTTCTCTCACTTCTAAGTGGATTATTTCACTTGTGATAGTAATCAGTTCTGCACCAGACTATCTACATAAAGCAAAAAAGATGCTGACTCAACCATAATGATGTTGGTCTCAGGTAACTGCAGTTACTAAATAATGTTGCCTATTTGTGGTTAATAAAGGCTTGACTTGAGATAAACCTGGATTATGCTTGCAAAGGAGAATCAGGCTGTTCAGTAGATCGGATTCTTTTACCAAACATCTCCAAGGTATTTTTTGAAGAATTCAAAGAAATAGATACAACTGTGACACCTTTAAACGAACTCACATCCTAAAGTTTTAGGCACCATTAGCTCAAAAAGATATACCTTACTTAATTTTACAATATATATTCAGTCCTAATTTAGAACAGCTTTTCCCTTGGCTAATCTCAAAGTAATAAGCTTTGATTATACAGCTGCTTGCAAGTGGGCATTTTTGCACTTTCAGGCACTGGGAATGGAGACAGGTGAGTGTGTGGGATGATTCAGATAATCCCTGTGCTCCCCTGAAATGCAGCTTTTCATCTTCCACTTCTCCTGACATCCTAACACTACCTGCTCTCAGGAGCTCATCAGTCTTCAGTGATCAGTCTCATATCCGTTCTAGGACGATTTTAGTATTTATCAATAATAACTGAGTTCCTAATTTATGTCGACCCCTTACAAGATTTGGGGAAATCAAAGATGAACAAAAGGGGATTTTCTTTTCCCTGGAGGTGCTCACAGCCTGGTGGGAGGCATGGACATAGACAGTTATGATTCCAGGTGGTTAGCTGGGCTTACAGAAGTTTAGGTCTCTGGGGGCATAACAGGCAGCGTGCCAGGGAAGGGGCAGTGAGAGAGACACCAAAGAAGAGGTAACATTCAGTCTGAGCATAGGCATAGGCATAGGCATTCATTCAGTAGGAAAAAAATGGAACTTGTCATCACTTGTGGCCAGAGCCCCAGAGGCCTGGAGCACACACTCTGTACCGTGACTGAGGGGCTGCAGCTGGGGAGCGGAAGGGAGACAGAAGGAGATATCGTGGAAAGGAGGTTGCAGTGAGAGGCCAGGGGCCATAAATGAGGAGCGACCGGAGCTCTTGCAGGGGAAGAGTCACTGATCAGATACGGGTCTCGGAGGGACACCTTTCACTGAGTCCTTTGCATCTCCTGAATTGCAGACACTTTGAGTCAACCATTTTCAGATGCTCAAGAAACTACTCAGGCAGGTTAAATGTCATTCTCAGGAGCGTGTTTGAGGCAAGTGTGGTGGCTGTGAGAGTTAGGAGGTGAAGAGGGGTGGCTGGGCCCTGCTCCCGTGGGTGCTGAGGGATGCCCCTCAGGGAAAGGAATATGGCCCAGAGGTCCGGGCAGGGGGCGTGGTCGATCCCCGGCGGGGAGAGGGGAGACCCTGGAGTCCAAATCAAGAGAGCCAGCTGTCGGTGGGTCTCACCTTCCTCCACCTCAGTTTCTTCATCTGCACCCCCAGAACAGCTGTACACTCAGTATAGCTGCACCCCCAGGACAGCTCTACACTAGCAGCGGGCAGTGTCCACTGACAGGAACCACAGGCAACTAGCTTACTTACCCAAGGGCAAATCCACACAACTGTAAGAGGCAATGGAGGGTGATTGTACTTGTTGTCAGGGTATAAATCAATTGCTGCTCTTAGCTCATAATTATGAGATTTAATATTTTGTCTTTTCTGGTACCTTTGATTCACTACAGTCACATTACTTTTTTTTTTTTTTTTTTTTTCCATTACTTTTTAAAACAAAGCTTCATTAGTCGCAATCAATGCAAAGAAAATCTCTCCCAAGGTAACAAGATCAAAGGAAAGCAGACGAAAGACTTAATAAGTTACAGTGGATGCCTGGTAATTCCTCAGATAATTTCCTGTTTACTTTTTTTTTTTTTTAATTACAGTGTTTCTTTAGTCTACTTTCCAGTAGTAAATTTCCATACCCCAGTTTTCCAGGAATTTTTGGAACCAGCAGACTTCTCAGCCCACATTATTAAAAGTAAATTCATAATTTCTCTGTTTCAGCTGATTGAAACGTTCTTTTACAGGAACTGCCAAAGAGTTGATCATTTTCTTAATATGCCCATTAAAGCCGGTAAATGACTGGGACCGGTAAATTACATCTTAGAAAACAAAGACTGCGGGAAGGGGGTAAATTCAGTGAGTGAGCTGGAGCTGGATTAGCCGGCTGCAAACGAAGCCAAGTCCCTCCTCCCTCCTTCCCCCCAAAAAAGACAGCTCGACTTTTCTCCACTTTTTTCACAGGAAGGTTTAGATTTTTCTGGCTGTTACCCTCCCGGGCAGAGTTCTGTAGCCTCGGCACGAGACAAGCGTTCATTATCCTCCTCGCCTGGAGTGGAAAGCCTAGGGGTGCTTACCCTGCGCCTGGCGGGTGGGGAGGAACGCGATGACCAGGGCGAAGATGAAGGCGGCGCGGCGAGCCTCGGGATACGCGCGCCCCGGCATGGTGATGCTGCGCGCAGTTTCAGCCCCGCAGAAACGTGAACGTTTCCTGTTTCCTGCTTGTTTGGGTCGGTGCTGACTTGAAGCAGAGGTGTTTGCCTGTTTTTTAGGAAGTGATGTAATTCGGCAGGAGCCTGTCAGACCAGCAAGAATTGCCAAAGAGAAGTTGCTCTTCAAGCACTGATTTAGTTAACACGCCTCTCAAGCCCTTTTCTGTCCCGGCCCCGCGTGGGCCTCCATCTTTTGACATTGCCCCCGTGGAAGCAGTGTCCGTTGCTCAGATGTCATTCAGAATCTGGGACTCGGGGGTCGGTTCTCGATTTGCGATTTTATTGATCCTCAGACCCCATGTCAGCCTCCGGGGCTGCCTGGAGTCTAGAGCAGCGCTCTCCGGTAGAACTTTCTGACATGATGGAAATGTTCTGAATCTGAGAGGCCCAATACAGTAGCCATTAGCCACATAGGCTGCTGAGCACTTGAAACAGGGCTAGCGAGAAGTGAATTGTTAGTTTTTATTTTTTAATGTAAATTTAAGTAACTCCATGTGGCTAGTGGCTACCATATTGGACACCAGACAGTAGGGACACCTGTGCCGTCAGGAAATGGCCATCCCACTTCTCTCTGGCCAGGCACATGCTCCTCCTTGGGCCCTGAATGCCCTGCCCCCAACAGCTCATCAGAGGGGAAAGGACAATGCTACACCCATACCTGAAGGGTGTGCTCTTCTCCAGAGAGAAATCATCTTTTTAGGTTTGGTTGGTTTATGTTTTTTCATTATAAAGACTTTATTTTTTAGAGCAGTTTTAAGTTCACAGCAAAATTAAAAGGAAAGCACGGAGATTTTCCATGTACCCCCAGTCCCCAAACATGCACAGCCTCCCCCATTATCAATACCCCCTGCAGAGTGGTACATTTGTTACCATTGATAAACTTACATGGATACATCATAACCACCCAAGTCCATAGTTCACATTAGAATTCACTCTTGGCGTTGTATATGCTATGGGTTTGGACAAAGGTATAGTAATGATATGCATCATCATAATAGTATCATACTGAGTAGTTTCCCTGCCCTAACACTCCTCTGTGCTCCACCCGTTCATGCCTCCCTCACCACCATCCCAACCGCTGACAACTACTGATCTTTTTACTGTCACCACAGTTTTGCCTTTTCCAAAATGACAGATAGTTAGACTCAGGAAGTATGTAGGCTTTTCGGACTGGCTTCTTTCACTTAGTGATATGCATTTAAGGTTCCTCCATGTCTCTTCCTGGCTTGAGATCTCATTTCTTTTTAGTGCTGAATAATATTCCATTGTCTGGATGGACCACGGTTTATTTATCCATTCACCTACTGAAGGACATCGAGGTTGCTTCCATGTTTTGGCGATTAGGAACAAAGCTGCTAGAAGCGTCCATGTACGGCTATTTGTGTGGACATAAATTTTCAACTCCTTTGGGAAAATACCAAGGAGCTCGATTGCTGGATCTATGGTAAGAGATAAATGATCTTTTAAGGGGCCTATTTCCAAAGCAGAATATGTTCTCAGGGGGAAAAAATTTCTGTATTTTACCTTTCTTCCTTCTTGAATGACTATTTTCTCAGAGGTTGTTAACAACAAACAAAATAGAACTGAGTTGGATTAGAATGGGGGTGGAAATCCTACCCAGTTGAAACAATGCAGGAAGGAGGTGATAGTTCATAGCAGTGTTTGGGGCGATTAGAGTACGTTAGGTTTTCTGTGTCCTATTGAAGTCCTTTCCTTGGTTTAGGTCTAGGTCCTAAACACTGCAGAGTGGAATTTCATCATAAATGTTGAGTATTTATCCCACAAATATCATAAGACCGTTTTGAGAAATAAAGTTTATAGAAAAGCCACAAAAAAAGAATGGAATTTCATAATCATGTTTGTTATGGTGCCAAGAGAGACAGGCAGAGAGAGAGAGGCATCAGACACCCATCTCATCTCTAACCCTTTGCTGGCAGCCTATCGTGAGTCACCAACTTCCGGTCCATACCATCTTCACTGATGCAATTGCTGTGAGCGCACGAGGTGACTGGATTCTTCAAGCCCCTGACATGGCCATTAATTTTTTGTTTAGTGCATTGCTGCTTTTCACTGTCATTAGTCACTGCTTATCTCAGTTCTTATCCACAGCAATAGGTTGACGATTCACGTACTAATCCGTGTTAATGGATTTACAGTCTAAATTTCGATATTTTAAACTGGCAGTTAAGTCAATTCCTGATAAAATATGCTTTTGCACTCTAGGTGACAATACAGAACAAACAGCAGAAGAAAAGAGTTCAAAACTGGATGATCGATTTGAAAACAATGGAGGAAGACCTGTTAATCAGACTATCGATGAGCAAATGAAAAGACCACTGGCTCCAAGACCCTCTAGTGCTAAGTTTGAGGGCGATCATTCCTGC